ACCACGAAATTAGAGGGAAGCCGGGGGCGAGCTGAAAAAAGGAAACTACTAGAGGAGGCGGAGGAAGGTGTTTCACCCGCGGAAGCTGAGGAAAGCCGTTACGGTACTCTTGCGTGGACGATCTGTCTTCCAGTTCAGCTCGATTTCTTTCTCTCTTTAAGCTTCGGTGGGCTCTGATCCTCTTGGTGTCCAGGGACACTACAGCTGCCCTCCCCGCCCACCAGCACGCACCTACCCTTTGGCACCTATCTTTTGTAAATCCTCAAAGGGAAGCCGACTTTGGGTGCTCCGTTTCTCTGGACCACATGCTTACAAAACAAAAAACAAAAAAACCTCTTCTGTCTGTACCTGGCTCTCTTGTGTGAGGTCTTTTAATCCTTGAGAGGCAGATACAATAATTGCCTCCCCTCCGCACCACCAAGAACGAAACAGATTTACAGAAATAGTTCGCATAAGAGGGATCAAGTGGGGATCTGGCCTAGGGTTTATGCAGCCTAGCAAGCACTTACTGCTAACCAACACCTCTGACTCTTGTTCCCCGGATTTTATTTATTTGTTTATTTTTGCTGTTGTTCTCTGTTTTGTTATCTTATTTTTATGTGTATGGGTGCTTTGCCTCCATATATGTCTGTGCACCACTTGTGTGCCTGGTGCCAGCAGAGACCGGAAGCTAAGATCCCCTAGGACTAGAGTTACAAATGGTTGTGAGCCACCACGTCGGTGCCGGGTGCCGGTAACTGAACTCCGGGTCTCTGGAAGAACAGGCATTGCTCTTAACCACTGAACTATCTCTCTAGACCCATTGCTTTGCTTTGTGAGACAGAGTCTCACTGTGGAGCCCCAGCTGGCTTGAAGATCACCATGTACATCAGGTTGGCCTCCAGCTCACAGAGATCTGTTTTCCTTTGCATCCCAAGAGCTGGGATTAAAAGCAAGGGACACCAAACCTAATGAACTCCTGACTTTGTAAGTTGCCATAAACTAGAAGGCCAGTTATAGAAGGATAGAGCTTCTACTACTTAGTATCTCTTGATCTGGAACAACATCCCAGTGGCCAATTAACCCCTGAATTTGTATATTTGTTTTGAGACAGGGTTCTATGCAGTTCAGGCTAACCTTGAACTCAGAGCCTAGGATGACTTTCTGATTCTCCGGTCTCCACTTTCCAAGTGCTGGGATTGCAGGTCTACGGCCCCACACCTAGTTTATTCAGTGTTTGGGATCAAATGCAGTAATTCATAGGTGCTAGGCAAGTACCCTGCCAACTGAATTATACGTCTGTCCCAATCCCTGAGTTTGAAGTGTGTTTTATGAGGAAATCAAGGACCTATGCACAAAAGAGATAGCCTGTGACTTCTGCCACAAAGAAAGGATAGGAAGGACTGGAAAGATGGCTCAGAGGTTAAGAGCACTGACTGTTCTTCCAGAGGTCCTGAGTTCAATTCCCAACACCCACATGGTGACTCACAACCATCTGTAATGCAACCTGGTGCCCTCTTCTGGTCTGAGCAGAACACTGTATATATAATAAATAAATAATTTTTTTTAAAGAATGAGTGGGAGTTTGCCCACTGGCTCCTAAAAGGGAACAAATTCAATCTCCCTCCCAAACCCCGTAAGTTCACCACACCCACTCCATTAATTCCCTGCTTAAAAACAGGTGAAAATACTGACTGCTTTGCCAACTGTTCTGAAGCCAAGCAGCCAAGGAAATATACTCATTGGTCACACAGGAATCTCCTAGAAGCCCCCTCCCTGAGAAAGCCACACAAATTCCTCAATGGAGGATGGTTTAAATTCTTAAGGCCTATAGTAAGGAGGCAGTCCTGCTCATTTATTCCAACAGTGTCTGCCAGAGAAGGCCCTCATAACTGTGTACTGAACTATTATTAAAGTCCTCAGTTTACACATGAGGAAATGGAGGCCCAGAGAGGGATGGGGGCTTGCTCCAGATTTCACAAGTGTGAGCCAACAACTGGAGCCCCCATTGTCAGCGCCCCACACCAGGTTGCAGTAGAGGCATTAGAGGTTGCCAAGACGCCAGGGAGCTGTTTTCTTCTGTCCTTCCTCCAGGGATGGTATGAGCTTTAGGTTTAAATGGGGGGCAAGAACTATGCATAACTAAGCCGTCCTGGTCAAGTTGTGGCCTCAGCTGTCACTGACGTGAAGTGTGGAAGGTCAGATCTGCCCTGCAAGGTGACCGGATAACTTGTCAAAACTCCATGAAGTGTCTCCATGGGCGACAGGCTCCTCTGTCTGGCACCAGGATTTAGTCTTTCCCTTCTCCTCACATAGATCCCCGGAGACATCATGTATATGTGATCATGTACATTCTATCACTTTTTCCATTGTTTCAATAACTTGATAGCAACAGTGCCATCGTGATGATAATGTGGTGGCGTATTCCCAAAATCCCAGATCTTGGGAAGCTGAGGCTGAATGATTGTGAATTGATGGCCAGCTTGGTTCACATAGTGAGTTCCACGCCATGACTCTGTCTCAAAAGCAAGCAAACAAACAAACCCCAGCAAAACTGAACATGCCTTTAATCTCAGCACTTAGGAAACAGAGGCAGATGGGTCTCTGAGAGTTCGAGGCCAGCCTGGGTGGCATAGTGAGATCTTGTCTTAAAACAACAAACATAGCAACTGAAATAATAAGCATTGCTCCCAGACCTGGCACCACAGGCCTGTCATCCCAGTCACTCATATGAGAGGCTAAAGCAGGGGAAATGCAAGTTCTGTGTCTCCTGGGATAGAGAGAACATTGCAGGCCAGTCTGAGAAATTCAGTAAGAGTGAGTCTCACAATATAAAGTAAAAGAGAATGGTGGGGTTATAGCCCAGTGGTGAGACATTTGCCTGGTGTGTGAGGCCTCCATTCAAGCCCCCATTATGATTTTATGTTAAATAAAATCATAAACATTTGTTATCTTAGTTGATTTCTTTTTCTCTAGTTTTGGCTTTTGTCAGTTATCACTCAGTGTAAAACCAAGGATGACTTTGCACTCCTGATCTTCCTGTCTCTACCTTCCAAGTGCTGGGATTATAGGTGTCACCATGCCCAGTCCTTATAGCCATACTCTTGATATCAATTTTTGACCACAATTGAAAATGTTCTTTTTTTTTTTAACTTTTCCAGTGGGTTTTTATTAGTAGTTGCATCAGGATTCAGGGTCCCAGGGTAGAGACCATCATAAACCCAGGTCCCCCTTTACTATATGGGAAGGACGAGAACAGGAGAGGTGGGCGGAGCCAGGTCAGATCTTCCCGGGAAACGTGCCTTCTGCTCTTCGGTCATCCCAGGCTGAGACCCATGATACAGGGCAGAGGGACTTGTACACACGCCGGTACCACTCGCACACGGAGACGTCACCCCCCTTCGCGTTCATGGCCTTCTCGCAGCGGTGGAAGTCCAAGTAGTTCTGCCAGCAGTTCTTGGTCTGGTTCTGGTTTGGGAAGCGGCTATCAAAGGGGGCGGTTTTGTAGTTCTTGATCTTAGTCTGGATGTCTTCAGCCATGGTGCTCACTCCTGGAGACCGCCCCGGAGAAGCCGCAGCTCAATGTCGAAAATGTTCTTTTTTTAATCTTCCCCCTCCCAAGCCATTCTTAATTGCTGCAGGTTGGCGAGCCTGGAATTTTTCAAAACCATCAAATCCAACTGCTTTTTGGTTTGGCAGTGCCCTAATCAGTTTACATCTCACCTCTCATATTTTAGTTTCAACAAGAATCAAAATGAGGCAGTGCTTTCAACATTTCTCCTGGAAATCTCCTGTGCTGCACTGCACAGCTCATCAAGAACATCTTCTATGTTGCACATTGTCACGGGTGGCAGCGTGGACTGTTGGTCCTGCCAAAGATATTACTGGCAGTGTCTTTAAGGCTGTGTTAGACAGGGTCCTAAGGAACCCACTCCCTTTTATAGTTCCCTCACCTTGAGTATATGTAGGGACTGTGACATACTTCTTACCAAAAGTATAGGGAAAGTGATAGAATGTACATGATCACATATACATGATGCAATATGTTCCTAAATTCATGGCACTGGTCTTGATCGGGATTAAGGGTTAAGTATCTAAAAGCCTTTCTGATAAAAGGAAAATCTGCTTCTGCAGAGGCTGTCTGGGTCTTCTCTTATGCCTCCATCAATCCTGATCTAACAGGGGGCCTATGTGTCAAAAAACGGAGGTGAAGCTAGGTGTGGTGGCACATACCTTCGATCCTAGCAGTTGGAAGCCAAGACAGATCTCTGCGAACCCAAGGCCAGTATGGTCTACATAGTGAGACCCTGTGTCAAAAACCAGCACTCGGGAGGCAGAGGCAGGCAGATCTCTGTGAGTTCCAGCCTAGCCTGGTCTACAGAGCGAGTTCCAGGACAGCCTCCAAAGCTGGAATGAGGGTGCAAAAAGCTCTGGGGAGGTTGTTTCCTTTGCACAAATAGCAGTAACTGCTTTCCGGGTTCAAGCACTGATCTAAGGCAGTGTGCTATTGCACTGTCACCTATAACATCCGTTGTGCAGAGCATGGCACAGGCCATTCTAACCTGAACCCGGCTGTGTCTGATATGGACCAAGTTCTTAGCCAGAAAGAGCAGCGGTCGGTCTGTCGGTTTGTTCCCACTCCATACTTATAATCAAATTGCTTTTCATAAAACTATATGAGGAACCCGAGGGACTCTTACTTGGATTAACATGCTCCATTTCAAACACTAAGATAACACTGTGTCCGGCAGGTGGCGACCCAGAGCACATCTAACAGCAGACGCAGAGGAAGGCGCTGAAACTACATACCCACAATGCCGTGCGGAGAGTCAAGGTCCCGCACTCCTCTTTGGCTGTCTAATCTAGAGCCTGTGCGCACTCCTGAGGGAATGAGTACTGAAGCCGTGCAGGTTCTCTTCCTGTCTTCAGAGAGCAAAGTTTAGATATTTTTATTCCTTATGCCGCCTTTAGGTGGAGAGTCCTATGATTAAAACTAGGCTATTCTTTGTCGGCCTCACTTACCGTAGCCCAACCTGAGGACCCGTGACCTCTGACCCAAAATGGCAGCGCCCAGGGCGTAGCTCTTGCGGCTCGAAGGCAAACTGAGACTGAAGATCCCGCATCATGTCGAAGCTAAGCCGGGTTACCCGGGCCCTCAGGAAGCCGGAGGCTGGAGGCGTGATCCGGGCTATCGTGCGAGCTGGCCAAGCTATGCCTGGGCCCCCACTGGGCCCCATCTTGGGGCAGGTGTAGTGTCTGGAAGCCGGCCTGGGGGGACACGGGAGGGTGGTAGTGGGTAGATGGGAACGCGCTCTGGAGCCGGGAAGTCTCGCTTCTAAACGTGTCTCCGCCATTCACACTGCAGGCCTTATGTCTCTTGTTACTTTCGTAGTCTCTTTTGACCTCGGCTTCTCTGACCCTTCCCAGTTGGCTAGTTGCTGATTAAGTGCGACCTTGCGGACGAATCGTCCCGACAAGAAGCTGCACTTGAATCTGCGTAGAAGAAATATAGGAACACAGAAATGAAGACGAAGGAGGGGAGGGACAGGGGCTGCTGGGTGGCGGAAACCCGTTAACTCCTACACTTAGCTTTATGCTTTCTTCATAGCGAGGTGTCTCTATCAACCAGTTCTGCAAAGAGTTCAACGAGAAGACAAAGGACATCAAAGAAGGCATTCCCCTGCCTACAAAGATTTTTGTGAAGGTGCAGCTCATTCTTCTGTACTCTTTGGCGCTCGAAACTAGTCGCCCGGGGTGGCTTCTCTGTCCCGAACCTGGTTGTCACCCCCCACTTTTCTCATGTACACAGTGACGCCTAGACCATAATTTCTCTGACCGATCTTAGTCCTGCCATATTTTGTTCATGTCTTTCATGATGTGTGCTATGGTTTTGTGGTGTTAGAAACACCACAGAAAGGCAAGTTGATTTGAGAAGAAAAGGGACATTGCAAATTCCCTGGACCTGAATAGAAAGCCAAGAAATTCTCCATGTCTTTCTTTCTATCAAGCCCGACAGGACGTTTGAGCTCAAGATTGGGCAACCCACTATTTCCTACTTCTTGAAGGCAGCAGCCGGGATTGAGAAGGGGGCCCGGCAGACAGGTGAGGACGAGAGTTGAGCTCCTGAAACTCTGATAATACATCCAGGAAAAAGTAGTGACAGCTGGAACATCTGTTGCTTCTTCCCAGGGAAAGAGGTAGCAGGCCTGGTGAGTTTGAAGCACATATATGAAATTGCCAGTGTCAAGGCTAAGGATGAGGCTTTCGCCATGCAAGATGTGCCCCTGTCCTCTGTGGTCCGGTCCATCATTGGCTCTGCCCGGTCCCTGGGCATCCGTGTGGTGAAGGAGTGAGTATCCTCAGAGGAAGCTCTTATTTGGGAGTAAAGTGAGAGGGCCTGGTATAGTGAAATCGTCAGGTTTAAGAATTTTACAGCATGTCTTAGTTATACACCATAGGTTTCATTATGACATTTTCATACGTGTAGAGTTTTTGCTTTTTTGTTTGTTTGTTTGAGACAGGGTTTCTCTGTGTGGCCCTAGATGTTCAAGAATTGGCTCTGTGTACCAGGATGGCCTCAAACTCAGAGGTCTGCCTGTGTCTGCCTCCAAGTGCTGGGGTTAAAGGCGTGCGCCATAACTGCCTAGGTACATGTAGTTTTTAAGTTGAAGGACCTGTGGTTCTAGCAGAAGGATATAGGTGGAAGCCTCATCTGTTCATTTGGAATATGCTTCATAAGAACCATGCTAATGTCGGACGTTGGTGGCGCACGCCTTTAATCCCAGCACTCGGGAGGCAGAGGCTGGCAGATCTCTTGAGTTCGAGGCCAGCCTGGTCTACAGAGGGAGTTCCAGGACAGCCTCCAAAGCAATACAGAGAAACCCTGTCTTGAAAAAAAAAATCAGTGGATGTCATGAGAGCAGAGAGGAGAGTTCTTGCTTTTACCTTGTGTGTCAGTGAGGACTCTTTGAAGGAGGTAACATCAAAACAGCCCAGGAAAAGGAGGGTAAGGGAGCAAATGTTCCAAAAACAGTGGGAAAATGCAGTGAACAAGGAGAGGTTAGGGGCTGGAGCTACAGTCACTGTGGTCTAGGAGTCTTGTCTAGAGCTGGACTGGGACATGGTCTGAAGCAAGGAGCAGTCGGGGAGGAACTTTTGAGCTGTCCCACCTTCAGACTTCATCCTAAGGCCAACAACTGCCCTCGTCAGTCGGCTTTGGATGCCCTCAGGAATTGTTTCCTTGAAGTAACTAGTCACTGGGAGAGCATCTGACCCAGACCATATCAGAGACTGGAACAGGGACAGTCGTCACAGGCCTCTGACTGCAGATGTCATAGTCTGCAGCAAGGCTGGTATTGGTTGGTCATCAGGGAGGCAGGGTAGGGCACAGATAGCCTTGATGTTTCTTCAGGTCCTTACTTTGTGGGGCATAGAGGGGAGTGTCTACATACAGCCTGTGAATCCCTCATGTGAAGTGTTTGTGGCTCAAAGGAAGGCCTAGTAAATACCAATGGGAGAGTAGAGGCCACAGGTTAAGTGATGGGAATCAAAGGTATGGGAACGTGGAGTGTATCTGTGGTTACCTCAGACATCCCACTGTGCGGGTCCAGGCAGAAGAGACATGAACACAGGTATGGAAGTTGGGAGTCCAGGGAGGGCAAAGGGTAGGGGCAGCTGGGGGTCTGTGCCAGGACCCGCCACTCACTAACCATCTTTGTCCACCTGCAGCCTAGGTGCAGAAGAGCTGGCAGCTTTCCAGAAGGAACGAGCCGTGGTTTTGGCTGCTCAGAAAGAGGCAGATTTGGCAGCCCGGGCAGAGGCTGCCAAGAAGTGACCCCAGCCTTCCACACTCTGGGATTTTGAAAGAAGAGGCCAAGAAGGAAGCCTACCAAGAAAGCTAAACCAAAGGAGAGGAAGGGACTTCATGGCAACACAATTTATAGTTTCCTGACTTCATATATTTCTGTATATATGGCTGTGCCAAGGGGTCAAGCTTGAATAAACATCCTTTGTCACCCACTCTCAGCTTCCCTCTTGAGAACCCAGAGATGGGGACTAATACTGACAGTCATCAACCTTCACAGCTGTGAGCTGCCCCACAAGTGAACAGGAGTCTTAATGCCAAGCAGATTACCAAAGCTTGGTACTTATAAAGAAAAAAGTATCTATTTGGCTTCTCATTTGTGGTACTGGTGTCTGGCAAGGGCTCTCTTGGCTGTGTCACTACATGGTTTAGTGGAAATAGTCACATGCATAGGACCATTTATGAGAAGTAACCTCACTTGAAACAGTTTCTTCCTTAAAGCCAACAATAAGGAAGGTGGGATACCTCAGCACCTTCCACCAGACCCCACTTTAAAAACATCTATTAAGCCAAATGGTGGTGGTGGTAGTGGTGGTGCATGCATTTAATCCCAGCACTTGGGAGGCAGAATCTGGTAGATCTGCGTGAGCTCAAGGCCAGCCTGGTCCTGGTCTACACAATAAGTTCTAGGACAGCCAGGACTGTTACACAGAGAAACCCTGTGTTGAAAGGCAAGCAAAAAAAAATAATGATTTTATTTATTTATTTTTCTCCAAGACAGAGTTTCTCTGTGTGTCCTTGACTGTCCTGGAATTCAGGCTGGCCTCGAACTTACATAGATCCACCTGCTTCTGCCTCCTGAGTGCTAAGATTAAAGGCATGTGCCACCATTGCCTGGCTCATTTTCTTTTATAAGTGATTGTTTTGCCTGTATGTATGTGCACCATGTGCATGCTTGTTGTCTTAGGATTTCTATTGCTATGAAAAGACACCATGACCATGACAACTCATATAAATAAAGGAAACATTTAATTGAGGCGGCTAGCTTATAGTTCCAGAGGTTCATCATGGCAGTGTGTGGGCAGATGTGGTAGCTATACCTGAGAGTCCTAGGTCTTCCAGGCAGCAGGAAGTCAACTGAGACACTGAATGGTATCCTGAACACAGCCTGCCCCATAGTGACATCACACACTTACTTCAACAAGGCCATATCCACTCAAACAAAGCCACACCTCCCAATAGTGCCACTCCCTAAGAGATTATGGGATGAAATGCATTCAAACTAAGACACTGGTGTCTTTCAGAAGAGAGTAATAGATCCCCTGGAACGGGATTCATGGCAGTTGTGAACTATTATGTGGATGCTGGGGTTGAACCAAACAAGTGCTCTTAACTGCTGAGCCACCTCTCCAGCCCTCCTTTTTTTTTTTTTTTTGTTTTTTTTTTTTTGTTTTTGTTTTTGTTTTTGAATACGGTCTCAGTATGCAGCTCTAGCGAGCCTCAAGCTCACTACCTGCCTCTGCTTCTTGAGTGCTGGGATTAAAGGCATGGGCCACAACACTGGGCACAGGCCACACTTTATAAGGATTCCACACTACCACACTGGGAACCAAGCCTCCAGCACTTGAAGCTCTGGCGAGCATCACAACATTCAGGTTCTGAGTTCAGACAAGAAGTGGGGGGTTGCCTGTCAGTGGTGGTGCATTAATTTCAGGAGGATCTCTGTGAGTTTGAGGCAAGCCTGGTCTAGAGTGACTTTCAGTACAGCCAGGGCTACACAGAAATCTTGTCTCAGGAAAGAGAGAGAGTAGAGGCCAGGGAGAAATCCTGTGTTCAGGGTTGAAGACGTAGTTTCACGGTAGAGCTGTTGCTTATTCGAAGCCCAAGCTCTCTTCTCAGCACTACAGAACAAGAAGATTAATATGTTCTTTCCCTCAGGGATGAGAGAAGGTAGAGTTGGTGAGGTCCATAGACAGAGGCTTGGGCACACTGCCTGCCTTCCTTAGTCTATCTGTTGGAAATTCCTTTTATTTTAAAAAATTTTTATTATGCATGCATATAGTGTTCTATGCTTGGACACCAGAAGAGGGCACCAGATTACGGATGGTTGTGAGCCATCATGTGGTTGCTGGGAAGTGAACTCAGGTCCTCTGGAAGAACAGGCAGTGCTCTTAACCGCTGAGCCATCTCTACAGCCCCTGGAAATTCCTTTTAAGAAATGGGATCCTGTGGGAGAGATCAGGCCACAGGGAGGCTTACATCTAGACACAGGGGATCCCTTTTAAGAAATGGGAGCCTGTGGGAGAGATAAGGTCACAGGGAGGCTTATGTCTAGACACAGGGGCAACTTCAGGCCTCCCTGCTGGGTGGCTGTGCTTTGTTTTGAGACTGGATCCATTATGTAGCCTTGGCTGGCCTGGAACTGGCTATGCACACCAGGCTGCCTTAAACTCAAAGGTCTGCCTGCCTCTCTGCCTTTGTCTCCTCAGTTTTAAGATGTGCACCACCACACCCACCGCCTTACTAGGGTTGGTTGTTGGCTTAAGATTGCTGTTGGCTTAAGATTGCTGAATTTTTGCTGGGTTTCGTTCCCAGCAGCATAAAGACAAAGCAAGAGCTGGATCACTGAACTCCACTCAGATTCTGACGAACTGAATCTGTGCTTGGGTCAGAGGGTAACTGAATATGAATTGCAGTCTCAGACATACATAGGAAGTGAAATTCTTTGGAAACCCTTGACCTCCTGTTTTGCCCATTCTTCAGAACATCAAGGGTTCTCTCAGAAGAGAGCAGAATTGGCAGGGGAGCTGAAATTTGCATTTACCATGTGTTATGTGCTGGATACTACATTTTGTTTGCCACCATACTGAACATTTAATTTAGCAAATTTATCACATAAAATTAATAATTAGGGGCTGGAGAGATGGCTCAGAGGTTAAGAGCACTGGCTGTTCTTCCAGAGGTCCTGAGTTCAATTCCCAGCAACCACATGGTGGCTCACAGCTATCTATAATGAGATCTGGTGCCCTCTTCTGTCATGAGGGTGTACATGCAGGCAAAACACTGTGTACATAATAAATAAATAAAATCTTTTAAAAAATTAATAATTAAACATTGCTTACTGGGGCTGGAGAGGTGGCTCGGTGGTTAAGAACACTGACTGCTCTTCCAAAGGACCCGGTTCAAATCCCAGTATCCATATGGCAGTTTAATACTGTCTGTAACTCTGGTTCCAGGGAGTCTGACACATTCATACCAATGCACATAAAATAAAAATACATTATAAAAAACATTGCTTACTAACATTACAATCAATGCTGTATTTTATTACATATGTAATCTATTATAAATATATCTTTATATATTCTATTAACTTTTTATTGTTGAGATTATAATATAATCACATTATTTCTCCCCTAATTTCCCTCCCTCAAAACCCTTTGCCAGTTGTTGGTGGGGCATGCCTTTAATCCCAGCACTTGGGAGGAAGAGGCAGGCGGATCTCTGTGAGTTCGAGGCCAGCCTAGGCTACAGAGTGAGTTCCAGGACAGCCTCCAAAACAATACAGAGAAACCCTGTCTCGAAGAAAACAAAACAAAACAAAACAAAAAACCCTTTCATATACCCCACCTTTCATTTTTTCACATTCACGGACTATTTTTACATAAATGATAACTAATGTGCTCTTTGCTAGAGAAGACTTCTCCCACTCTCAGCATCCCTTAGTTACTTTTGATTCTTTTTTTAAAAAGATTTATTTATTATGTATACAGTGTGCTACCTGCATGTATGCCTGCAGGCCAGAAGTGGGCACCAGATCTCTTTACACATGTTTGTGAGTCACCATGTGGTTGCTGGGAATTGAACTCAGTTCTCTGGAAGAGCAGTCAGTGCTCTTAACCTCTGAACCATCTTTCCAGCCCCCCCTTTGATTCTTGTGTAAGGCTGGGGTCTTGTAGGCTTTCCCTCATCCATTTTGATATGTCTATTGTGTACTCTTTGTTCTGCTCATGTTTAGGCACTCATGTTGGCAATACTATGGATGTAGCTTCTGAGGTTACTTGCAGACACAATCTCATAGTAAACTTTCTGATCTTCCAGCTCTTTCAGTATTTTCAGCCCCTCTTCTGAAATGATCCCTGTGCCTTAGGTTGGGGGCGTGTTTATTTTTTACATTCCAATCTCAGTTCCCCCTCCTTCCCCTCCTCCCTCTCCCGCACTCCCCCATCTTCCATCTACTCCATGGAGAGGGTAAGGCCTCCCCTAGGAAGTTTACTAAGTCTGTCCCATCATCTCATTGAAGCAGGACCAAGGCACCTCTCCAACCCCACCTCTCTAGACTGGCAAGGTATTTCACTATAGAGAATGGGCTCCACTAAGTTGGTGCATTAGTGTTAGATTTTGGTCCCACTGCCAGTGGCCTCATATATTGTCACCAGCTGCACCATTGTCACCTATATTAAAGGAGTCCAGTACGGTCTCATACAGGTTCCCCATTTGTCAGACCTGAGTCAGTGATCTCTCACTAGCTCAAGTCAGCTGGTTCCGTGGGTTTATCCATCATGGTCTTGACTCCTTTTTTTTTTTTTTCCGAGACAGGGTTTCTCTGTGGCTTTGGAAGCTGCCCTTGTAGACCAGGCTGGTCTTGAACTCACAGAGATCCGCCTGCCTCTGCCTCCGAGTGCTGGGATTAAAGGCATGCACCACCACCACCCGGCATAATGTACCACATTTTCTTTATCCATTTTTCAGTTGAGGGGCATCTAGGCTGTTTCCAAGATCTGGCTTTTATGAATAATGTTGCTATGAACATAGTTGAGCAAATGTCCTTGTGGCGTGAATGTGTCTCCTTTGGGTATATGCCCAACAGTATTGCAGGGTCTTGAGGTAGGTTGATCTCTAATTTTCTGGGAAATAGCCACATTGATTTCCACAATGGCTGTAAAAGTTTGCATTCCTGCCAGGCGTTGGTGGCGCACGCCTTTAGTCCCAGCACTTGGTAGGCAGAGGCAGGTGGATCTCTGCAAGTTCGAGGCCAGCCTGGTCTACAGAGAGAGCTCCAGGACAGTCTCCCAAACAATACAGAGAAACCCTGTCTCGAAAAAACAAAAAAAAAAGTTTGCACTCCCACCAGCAATGGACTGTTCCCCTTTCTCCATATCCTCTCTGGCATAAGCTGTTATCAGTGTTTTTGATTTTAGTCATTCTGATCAAT